AATATAAGAATAAAATGACCAAACAATTTTAGATATTCTCTTAATCTTGTTGGGTTTAGGTAATTTTTTTTTTTAGTTTTCAAGATTCTCAATTTTTTATTTTATTTTTTATGACGTGGGAACCCGCAATCGCTACCCGAAAGTGCGCACTGAGTAAATCCCAGTCAAACCTAATACCCTGCAAACTAGGTCTGAAAAACAAATCACACTAGGCAAACCATGTGTGGCAGGTGACATCAGAGGGATATGTAAGAAAATTACTAACTTGAGTTTTAGCCCAAGTACCATATTTGGTTATTTACTAAACTCGTCCTTTACAATTTCAACCACTGCAGAGATTTAGTATGTGGATGATCTTGATCTTGAAAATTGTCTTCAAAACATGTATTATGCAAGGGACATTTATGAATGGTAAATACACCTCTTTTGCGTATTGCATACAACAATAATATTCTTATCATTAGTATTTTTATACTTGAAAAAACGGTGAATGACAACAACATAATTTTTTAACATGATACAAAACACGTTCACATTCATGAATATTTGACATTTCCAATTAAATAAGAAGAAAACAAATCCAATAATTTTAATTTACTATTGCCATTTCACTTTGTCAGTATTTACATGCACTTTGAAAGATTTTTCAATAGATAATTTATATTGAAACTACTCTGGAGAAAATAAACTTAATTTCAAATGGACCTTCAAAAAAATTATTCATATTATTTTCTCTTTAAATTTGGAAAAGATATCCATCAATGTAGTGTTCTCTTTTATTGCTGCCACATGGAACTCCTTATCATTCTTGTACATAAGAAGAATGGTATGCATACTTAATCCTTACAATATTACTCACTCCGTCCCATGTAATATGGACATGTTATTGTAAATACGAAAATTTAGGTAAAATATAATTAGTAAATAATTAAGAAGTGTATTAGTAAAAATAATTATTGTATAATAAATATAATTGTAGATTAAAATTAAGATAATTAAATAGTTTAATTAAGATTAAAAAAAATTATAAAATTTAAACTTTAAAATAAAATTAAAGTGTATAATTATATCTTAAAAAAAAAAAAAAGGACAAATTATGTGAGACTGAAAAAATAGAAAATATGAACAAATTATGTGGGACGGATGGAGCATTATATTTATGATGAAAAATATTGAAAATATCTTATAACACAGTAATTCTAATTAACAATAAAGCTAAAAAAATATATATTGGAAGAAAATCTAAATCTAACTACACATCCATTTGATAAATAATGGAAAAAAAATCTTGGAAATTTTGATTTTTTATGCCTAATTCAATTTGTCCCTCAATAATAATAAAAATTAACTTACTTTGTAGCCCGGCCCACCAGCCCAACTAAACCCTTATCCCTTCTGTATTTTGATTTATACCCTTTTGATTAGTTGAGTGTATAGCTCAATAGTTAGCTTGTTAGGCATTTTTTTGGTCCAAAAAACCCGTGTGAGTTATTTAGATATAGAAAGGGTTTGTAAGTTTTGAGAGTTCTTCGTGAGACCCTCTCGTGAGTTATTCTGTTGATTTTCGTTAAAAAATCAAAATATTTTTTTGTTCAGTTGTGTTTGGTGGGTGTCGAGATTTAGAATGTCAGCCATATTTCAATTTAAGGCGTGGCTACCATGGGCGTTCATACCTTGAGTCTAAGCCGTGGGTGAAATTGGTCTCGCACTACCGCCGGTGCCACCGTCAGCGAGTCACTATCTTCCATCGGAGAGCCGCCGTCCGTTGTGACGGAGCGAATTTACAAATTTTTTCTATTGGTGATAATAGATAAACTAAACATAAAATATATTAAAATAATAATAATAATAATAAAAATAAATTATTATTGATAACATTAAAATATATATATATATTATTCTTTTATATTTATATCATTAAAATATAAATTAGTTATTTATTTTACTATTTAAGTATGGATGATATTTTAAATTTTTAATATTTCATTATTTTATTTTGAATAATCATAATATTTTAAATTTTAAATAGGAGCACTTAAATTTTTATGATAGCATAATTATTAAATTATAAAAATATTATTTTCATTTAATAAAATCAAATCACTGATAACACGATACCACAACTATCTTACACATAGGTTCCCGTGGGACTCGTCGGAATTCCATGAATATAAAGCAACTTTATTCAAATATGTTTTTCTTCTCACCGAGTAGACCTAGGGTGTGTTTGTTCAGGGCATTCTCCACAAATTCCATTATTCATTAATATTTTTTTTCCACTCAAAAACATTAAATCAAACAGCTATGTTTTATATTATATCAAAAATCAATTTTATATTCAAAACAATCACATTATATCACATCATACTAACGTTCCAATTCAAAATTTTTACTGTCAAATCCAAACCCCAAGCAAACACACCCCTAATTAATTTCAATTTTAATTCCAATTCGCTGTATGATTAGGGATGTCAAATGGGGCGGGTTAGCCCCGGACCCGCCCCGGACCCGCTCTTAATGGGGCGGATTCGGGTCTAAATAATATGTTTCGGGGCGGGTTGTGGATTTGAAATTTTAAATCCGGCCGGGTTCGGGTCGGGTTACGGATTTTACTAAAAATCCGTCCCAACCCGGACCCGGACCTGAACCCGGATATTTTTCTAAAAATATTATAACTAATATATATGCATATTATATAATAAAAATATACTCCCTCTGTCCCACATACCGTGTCTGCTACACTGTAGACACGGTTAGGAGGGGTGTAATTAGTAAATAATTAAGAATGTATTAGTGAAAATAATTATCCGATAATATAAATAATTATAAATTAAGATTAAGATAACTAATTAGTTTAATTAAAATTTTTAAAAAATAAAATTAAAAAGTTTAAAATGAGATTAAAATGTGTAATCATTTTCCAAAAAAAGAAAGTGACATGGTACGTGGAACAGACAGAAACGGCAACCTGGACATGGTATGTGGGACAGAGAGAGTATTATTTATTTATTTAAATAATTTTAAACATAAAATTCAATTAGTCAGTTTCCCCCAAGTAATTTTTTTAAAATTATTATACCTAATATATGTATATTTGTATAATAAAAATATATTAATTATTTATTTAAATAATTTTAAACATAAAACTCAATTAGTTGGCTGCCGCAACCCTAAATCCCTAATTTCTTTTTCCGCTTCTTCAACCGCGACTGCTCCCGTCTTCCATCTTCATCTACTTGTCTTCTGCCGACCACTACCGCCCGCCAGCGCCAATATAATAATATGTATATATATATTTTTAATTAGATACTAGTGGATCGATCGTTGGATAAAAAAGTTGTCCTCCTGCAATGCTAGATGAAGATGAAGACTTTGATGTTGAAAAATATTAGAATTGACTATTTGATATTTTAAATTCTTATATTTGCAGTATTTTTATCTTATTTTTATGAATCAATATTTGATTGTTTATATATATATATATATATATTTTTGGTTCTTTTAATGCTATTTGTTTTAGTATTCGATTGTTAAAAAAATATTTATTATTATACATTTAAAAAAAAAAACGGATTTGCTGGATTGACCAGAAATGGGGCAGGGCAGGTCTCGGGGCCTAATATTTTTTAGCGGGGCGGGTCTCGGGCCTTCAAAACCTGTCCCGAACCCGCCCTTTGACATCCCTATGTATTATTATTAATTTGGATTAATATGAATTTTACTTCGACTAATTAACTCTAATATTTTGTATTTACGACATATTATTTGAAAAATCCATAGATCCTAAAACAAATACACATTTAAAAAATGGTAAATAATGGAAAGAAAACCTAACTGAATCAGGTAAAAGATGATCTTCCCATCAAGAAAAGTTCTTGAAAGCTGCGAATTGTTTAATTAGTTATGCTCTAATAATAGAAAGAATAAAAATAAATTGAATATCATTTTATAAATTAATTAATACTAGAAAATAAGAAATTATACCCCTAAATTTTAGTATGCTCATGGATAAGGTGTTGAGTCATACTGAACTTTTTAAAACTATTTTATATTAATTTATATTATTTAATTATGTTTAAAACATAATTAAGATAGTTAATATTTAAAATAATCATCACAAGTGCTTAGAAACAATTTCAGCACATGAAATGTGCCGATTTTATATAGCCGTAAAATTGTTCAAGGTATATATAATCGGTTCTGTAATGTACGAATTAAGGTACAAGTAAAAACTAATATATGGCAATTTTATGGAAATAAACTAAGAATAAGAAAGAAAATACTATATTCGTCTGATAAAATTATATTGATTTACTTGAATACAAAAATTAAAAAATAATACTTCCTATTTAGGTAAAATATAATTAATAGGTAATTAAGAAATGTATTAGTAGAAATAATTATTATTTCGTAAAAATAATTATAAATTAAAATTAAGATAGATAAATAATTTAATTAAGATTAAATAAATTATATAAAAATATAAAATTTAAAATATAATTGAAATGGATAATCATATTTCCAAAAAAAAAAACAAATTATGTAAAACAGACGAAAACAGAAAATATAGACAAATTATGTGGATGAAATGAATAATATTTTAATATTAAAATAAAATAGATATTATAAAAAATTAATTAAATAATTAATAAAAAAATAATATAATAAAAATTAGTGACAAATTAGTTATTTTATTTTTAAAATAAAAATAATAAAATTGTTAGTAGGTAATTTTTCTATTTTTATGTTAGCGAACAAAAAAACATAAATTTGGAAATTTCAAATTTTTTTGAATTGTATTTGTTTACTTAATAGTAAAAAAAAATAAAAATAAAAATACTAAAAATACAGGACACGCGTCGAACGATTACAGAATGCGAAACGAACATGGAAAAGTCCAAGCTGTAAATAACAATAGCAATAATAATAATAATATTAAATTTTAATTAAACATAAATCCAGAGTAGTGGAGAACATCCACGACCACGCAATGCTCCTTCAATTTAGGAAATTCCGTTTTCCCCTTAACCAAAACTACACACCCCAACTTCTTCTTCTCCTTCCTCTTCTTCCTCTTACCTCCATACCAATCGCAATAATTCATTCTTCTCCTTTTCCTTTTCCTTTTCCTCTCTTTACTCACTCACATTTCTACCCACACTCTCTCTCTCTCTCTCTACCTACCCCACTGTCGATTATGATTATCAGATTATGATTATGTTATAATTATCAGATTATGCTATGATTATCAGATTATGATGATGATGATGCCTTAGAAGAAGAAGAAGAAGCAAGCAAGCAGAAAAAGGCAGGCAAGGCAAGGAAAGGAATGACCCTAAAAGGAAACAGCAGTAACAGCAATAATAATAATAATCATAATACTAATAATACTCACAATAATAATAATAACAATAACAATAATACCTGCAATAGCAGCAGCAGCAATAGCAGCAGTCAAGCGTGTGCAGCGTGCAAGCACCAGAGGAGGAGGTGCACACCGGAATGCCTTCTGGCTCCATTCTTTCCCGCCGATCAGCCCAAAATGTTTCAGAACGTTCATCGTCTCTTCGGCGTCAAACACATCCACAGGCTCCTCAAAGACCTCCCACCCCACCACCACGCCGTCGCCATCAGCTCCATTAAGTACCACGCCACCATGCGCGACAAGTACCCCGTTTACGGATGCCTCGTCGACATTCGACACCTCTCCCAACAAATTCAAATGGCTCAGGAGGAGCTCCATCTAGTTCTGCACCACCTCTCTTATTACCGACGGCAGCACCAACAGGAGATATCCCCACCCGACCATTACCATCTCGACTTAGGGATGGCGCCTCCCAAGAGCATCGAAATGCTGCCACATGTTCAAGACAACGACGACAAAGATGACAATAATCGGAATGATAATAACAATAATAATAATATCGGGGCAGTGGAGCCGCCCTCTTATTCGAATAATTGCAATTTCGATTACAATACCAGCTTGAACTCCAAGGAGAACAACAACAACAATGATATAGTCGACTCACTGTGGTATCAGCAGCCGTACGCCGATGCCAACAACGCCAATCAAGTGATGATGCAATCGGAGCTCACTGAATCAGAGTCTCTGCCTATACCACAAGGAACAGCTGCACACGATTACAGTGAGATGCATTCATTTTTCGACAATATTGACAGGAATTCTTTCATCGGCTGCAAGGATACATATGAATGCAGGTACAATATCTCTCTGTGTGTGAATTGATGGTTTTTTTCTTTCAAAGAATGAAAATTCATAACATCATAAATTTCGACAAATGTGCAGTTTGGAATCATCAAGGCAGAGTATGGAGCACGTGGCGGAGAATGAACTCAAGAATGCTGCAGCATGCTTTAGCCTAACCAGTGTCAACTAATAGAGATGAATCAAATCAGAGCATGCTTTCGCCAGGAAACAGATCGAATTTTGTGGAGTTATTATTTTCATATAGTAAGTAGGCAATTGTCTCATCATTTTCATATCTCATTCGAAATGAAACACGCTAGTTACACTTCTATCATTCACTTTCAGCTGCTGATAAAACTACAAGACATTCACTGCAGGCATTTCTTTCTTTCTAAGTAGTATTTCGCATTTATAAGGTACCATTGCATTTCTAGTTACTACTATTGCTATCCTATCTTTAGATAAAATGTTCGTCAGATGTGTAGTTCAAGAGATGGATATACAGAACAAAAGACAGGCTGATCTCAAAATGGTGGTCAGCAATAAGATATTAAAATTCAGAGTTAAAAATGCAGATGAAATCGACTTACAGTGCCGTGTGGTGGATGACTGATACCAATGGTATCAGGCTTGCCTCCATACTAAGCCGAAAAGCATCTTTTATCATTCCCCTAATTTCAGTTAGTAAATTGGCATATGTATCTAGATGCAAATTCCGAGCTATTTATGAAGTCAACAGCATCAAAGTATGTATAACTTTGCCAAAAAGCAGATCATAACTACTAATGAATGATAATGGCAGATTAGAGAATACATGAAGGTCAGGGAAAAAGGCATTCAGGGAATTTCAGTCTCGGTGATTCAGAAGAGTTCCAGAATCCAGGTAACTGTCTGTTACTTCTTCAATTTGATTGCTATGCTAGAAAGAAGACATGAATTCCTGAGTGGTTTTGTACATTTCAAATTTTGTGGCAGAAGATTTGTGGTGGAAAAAAGCATTTCATGAAAATCTATGCACAGATTGCATCATTTTGGAGGCTGAATATTATAAGAAAATTATAATGCGTCTCGATGCCAGCTTGCTTACTTTCTAGCAAAGAGCTTGCAACAAGTTAAATCAATACTGTTTAGGTCGTCTGTCCAAAAGAATAAATCAACTCCAGAACCTAATGTATATATAATGATTCCATTTATTACGAGCAGACATTTTCCTTGAAATAAAGATAATTTACACCAAAGAATCAAAAAATAATACCGATCTGCCGAGCTTGAGCTTGAAGAATATTGACAAAACTTTAGATCACTGCTTTAAATGACTCATAAGAATCAACAACATTCAATAACACAAGCCTTATAGTTTGGCACTTACTTTTATAAGGTTAGAAGAAGTACCCTAAGTGATGGTTATAATTAAGATTTTACAAACTAGCATGTAATATTTATCCGTCCTGCAGGTCAGATTGGAAAAATCTTCTACTTGAATTGAATCTTAAGCAATAGTTATGATTGAGTAACAATTTCAGAAACTAGCATGTACTATATATCTGTCCTGCAGTTCCGAATGGAAAAATCTTCTACTTGAATTGAATATTAAAAGGCAATAGAGTTTAAAGTATTGCTATTGAACTTCAAAACAGAAACAAATAGTGGAAAGGAAGATTCTCATTATAACATTTCTTCCTTGCATGTTATTAATGCATCTGTAACAGAAGCTAACTCATTTACAGATCAAGATTAATAAGAGCTGACAACTTGGCAATAGCTTGCATCTAAAAAACTTCTCCTATAGATGGAGAAATGGAAAATAATTAAATAAAAGTAGGCTTGCCTACTGAAATATGCAACTGTTTCATACCAATTGCATGAATGGTACAGGACTATGTACGCGGTGCTTTTAAGGAGTCTCAACTTCCCAAGAATTTGTGTCACAGAAGCCTTGTGTTGTAGGATCCACAATACGGGCACTTGTGGTATAGCCAATGAAAGCGTGCGGTTCCTTTTTTCTCACAGTCATTGCATAGGATGGTCTGCATGTCAATTTGAATGATTTTAATCTAGGGCTCAGATAGTGCATCCAAATTGCAATTAATAAAGCATGCTGGACAAACCAACCTGTAGTTGTCCAGAATACTCTTCTGGAATTTTCTCTTCAGCTAACAAAGCATCTAACATGCTAAAATATACCTGAAAATGAGACCAGCCAAACATTTCCAATATCTCCAAAGTAGAATAATTATTTGAAGTGAAATTGACTAGGAACTGAGAACTAGGACAGCTCAGGTTATCCATGCAACACAAACTAACATCTGGTCACTAGAGTTCCTATCTATTGATTGAGTTCTAAATGTCTTTTTATATGAAGAATATTTTCCAAGGTTCGGGCATGGGAATTGGCGGATCACAGCTTATTATGCCCGCTGAGTACACAGTCTTCGCACCAGGAATACACTATTTGCAACATATTGCATTTGGAAAGCCCATGAAGAAGGCTGTGTTTCTGGAGCAGTAACTTATGAGGGTGACAAAAGAGTTAAGGTTGGATTTTGTACCACAACCAAGGAGCTAAGATTCACCCTAACAAGCAAAAGCCAGTACTTTCCACCCTATAAACAGTTTGTTAACGAAAAATGCTAGTTTCAGTTTGTTGGATGGGAAGGTCATCATGGTTATGTTTATGGTGTAAAATTGCAAAGCAATGGAAAACAATTTAAATTTGTGAGGTTTGGAACTTTCCACACTACATTCCTGATGTCCCTTTATCATCTTCCATCACATTTCTCTTAGTGCAAACAGAATGAAGATTTGTTTGCAAAATTATTAAGTGTAACACTTTTAGTTGATTGTAACTTTCAGTCGAGTATCTAGGCCCTATATTCAGTTCCTTTAGCTAATTCTCTAACCTTATGTTCCTTAGGTTGTAACTCTCCTATAATACATACATATATATATGTATGTGATATCTTTTCTTTCAAACAAAATATGTCAGATTTGAAACAGAAAGTAAGGACAATCCATGTTGACATTATTCAAACAGAACATAATCCACCGGCCACATTTTCAAGAGTTGGTGATAACTGATAATTTTTACTCAGAAAAAAAAAAAAATTAAACTAATTGAAGATGGTAACATTGAAAAAAGGCATTTTATTTGCTGAAATAGACAGTTTTTTGGACCAGAGCATGGTAAGGAACAAAAGATGTAAACTAACCTGCATGTCTCCTAGAGTTTTGCTGCAGATGGGACAAATATAGTGAGAGCAAGTGTAATCCTGCAGCAGTATAACTTAGAAATTAGGAGAGAAGTTTTTATCATACTAAAACAGATGAAACAACAGAGATACCTGAAAACAAGCTGAATGCATCAAATGTCCACAAGGAAGTGACTTCACCGGAGAGTTTGATGTGAATATGTACTCATGGCAAATTGGGCAGTTGTCCTCCAGGCATTTCTCTCTACATGCATGCACAAAGAGAGACCTTGACATGCAAGCGTTGCATGTCATACAATGAAAGTAATCAATGCCTAAACCCTTGCCAACTCGGCACAAATTGCAGTAAGGGCAGTGGTATATTTGCCTGTCCAAAGTCTAGTAGTCAGAAGTATTCTAGTTAAGTTGCAGTTGCCAGCATTTAGATAATGCTGCTTGCCAAAGTAGTTTGACTGAAAAATTCAGGTCCCTGTCTTAGTTTTTTCTGAAATGATAAAGAAGGTTATAATTCTTGTTTACTGTTGCTTCAAAAAATCCCTTGGATTAAAAACAAAGAACTTTTCAGCACCAAGCACATGGTACACCAGGAAGATGTTTAAATAAATTAAAAAGAGTAAAAGGTGAATATAAACTGAAAATCATATAGTATTATCAAATAACCTGTCATTATCGAACAATTTGCATATCTTGCAATAATATGTTCCCATGGAGAAGCCACTGCAAGTTTCATTTGAACAAGTTGGATCAATTGGTTGAATTACGAGGCATTGCATGCACATCATATTTGTTATAGTTCTCCTGGTTCAATAAGAATGAGATGGTTGAGTATTTTAGAAGCCATTAACATGGTCTGAGCAGCAGCATAGTAAATGCTTACCTGTCTGCAGAATGATCATTTAAGTCATCGTGACAGCGTATGCACGTGTAAAGCTTGTTGCAGCATGGGAAAAGAAGCTTGCAGTTCCTTTTGTAGTGCTCACAACCAAAAGTTGATTCAAGAGGGTCTTGATATGAGGGGCTTTGCCCTGGAATCTCTCCAATATGATTCGCCATAGGAATCTCTTGATGAAACATCTTCTGTGTCATGATCCAACGACTATAAAAATAAAATATCAAATTTAGTAAGACTATTGACTGTATATAAAAACATCTCAAAGGCTGTAAGACATGCATAAACAGAAAGTAATGTATTACTATATTAAGTGAGATTTAAGAATAGACATGAGGACACAATTACGTAGCAGTACCATGTCAAGGATAATTGAAAATTCATAAGTTAAATTATCAAAATTGCCAAACTGAAAAGAAAGGGGGAAAATGGAGTTTATCTTTACCTCGTTAGCAAATTCTGAATTATACATGATTTTTTTTTACCATCCAAACTAGAATCGCGGGAAACTCTTCTTATTGTAGCTTCAAGCTGTTCCTGGTTCATGCCTAAGGGATGATCCTTATGACTAAACTTTTGGCATTCTTCTTCATGTTGCTCCCCACCATCAATACATCTTTCATTCACTTCATTTGATCTCTTCTTGTCAATTTCATTCCAATGTTGGCTTAAATCTTGAGGTTGGTATCTATCTTGATCTTGGTCGGTATCAGTGTTGCAGGATGCACTATGTTTTAACTCATCCAAATCCAACGCAAATTCTTTTTGTGTTCTTGTATCAGGCTCAAGTGTTTGAGCTATATTTCCATCTTTCAGCAGATATGACGCAACAACTTCGAGGGGGTCAGCAGCTAACAGAGGAGAAGGCCTTGATCCCTCTGCTGGTGTGGATATTTTATATCTTGTCATCCCTTCCCACCACTCTTGTAACCATTCATCAAACTTTGTAAATCTTGCAACCTTGAGCCATAAGGATATCACTGCATGTTGTTCATCGGGTGCTAGATAAGCCATGAGCCAGGATATCATTTCTTGAAGAACTTCTGCTTTTGTTCTCCCAAGCATATGGCCAACAATCTTTTCTTCTTCTTCAGTGGAAAAGTATCCTCTGAACAAGGGGAATATATCAACTTCTTCACGGTATATATGATCAGAGAGTACTTTATGCATAGACAAGCACGCATCATGGAGCTCTAAACACAACTGGTAGTGTTTTCGCTTAGTCTCTTGACCACTTTCCTTATTATGCAACTCAGATAACTCGTTTAGGATAATGGATATTATCTTAAAATGTTTGCTTTCCAATTTATGGTCAATGCAATAAGAGTGGCTTATGTTCTGAAATACACCTTTTGATTCTAGAGCTGGAAAAGCAATTTCATCCTCTGAGTCACTATGGATTTGATAGATGATATTCAAAAGTCTGAAACGCTTCTCAAACTCAGCAAGAAATCCAACATTCATAGCAAGATCAGCTGATAATTTGACGAGATATTCCATATCTTTTATGAGAGCTCTGTGGAAATAATAGATGATATCCATAGGTCTCGACTCAAGGTTGAGTACAGTTGTGTGATCGGATTCTGACTTACTTCTCTGAAGGTGTGGCATTCTTTCATACATCTGAGAAAAGTATACGTGCAGATGCATCCCACTGGGATAAGATATGCCATGCTCTTCAGTTGTGATGAAGACAGAAGATGAGGGCATCACGACAGATTCTTTTGCCCTAATTTCCGAGTTTGGTTTGCGCTTCTGGTCCGAGAATCTAACATTTGGCATATACCGGTCAGCCAAGTAAATGCTTCTACCATTAAATACTTCTTCTAGATTTTTTCGAAATCTCTCAACTGAGGTTTTCCCAGAACAACCAATGCGGACCCATTCGTAGAGTAGAGATGTAAAAGAGTAATTGATTGAGCGACATCCAAGCTTCAATCCCTTTAGAATACACTCAGACTGATTCTCATTTAACTGAGCAGAGAACCAAGCCATCATGCACCTTAGCAGCCCAAGAGGCATCATACGCAGGCTTGCATATAGTAACCACATCTGCATTTCCTTCGTACAAATCTCATAAATTGATGGGAAAACCTGGAAGAAACTGAAGAATAAAGTTACCCAGGCAACAAAACAAAAATTACTGGCCATACTATTCAAAATGATTGAGTCCCATGCATATGAGAATATGTTGTTAAACTTGCATGTCCTCAAAATACAAGCTTACATTTGCATAGAGTTTTAGGTAAGGAGAAACAATATGAAGTCGCAAACTTGAATAGCAAAATATGTAAGAGATACACTACAGGAGAACATTTCTGTGAAACATGTTAAATTCCAATACCTTGGTTAACTGAAACTTGCAATAAAAAGAACTTCAGAGAGGAAGTTAGAGGGAAAGACCTAAAGAAGATCTGTTAGTGTTTCAAACATCAGTGCTTGACTATATATTTCATTAACAGCGAAATAAGTAAATAAGTAGCTGCAAAAACTTATGTCAACCTTGAAACTATGAAGCTAACTCATCGATTAGTCAATTGATTCAAATCTCTGAGGGGAGTAACTTCAACTAGCTCAAATCATCTATGTAGTCAAACTGATATGCAACTTCATGCTTTTCAAATAGATATAAAAATTGTGGTTTTTAATTCATGGCCATTTCCTACAAATATATGCTTCCCTCTTCTAAGGAAGACCCCGCAAATAAATATTGTACCTCAGTTTCAAGAAACATCAGGTTTTTGTTGAGCTTCCTTGTGAGGGATTTCAAATCCTCATAAAGGATTTCTACAAAACTTTGTTTTCCGGAATCTTCATATTCCTGAAAAAGCAGCCTTTGAAGACCTTTAATGTGGCACTCCTCAATGAGCGGTTGACAAGAAAAAGGGCTATTCTTGGAAAGAAGATTCGGCAATGGGTATAATACTTTTCTTAGATGATTGCTGCAATCAAACAATAGTCTTAAAGTCTCAGAAGTAATCAAAGTGCAAGCTTATACAAGATAAAGGTGTCTCTACAGTTCACGAATTTTCAACAGCTACATTACAACCAAGGCTCCATTACACCAACGTAAATCTTCCAGTATTTAAAACTTTGCTGAAAAAATATTTGTATCGATGTTCTGAACATCTGAAACAGGGAGTCGCATCAAGAAAAAGATCATTGTCTAGACAGGAATATTATTCCACTAATGCATTTTTATCTATGGTTTTTTTAGACGAATCCATCATCGCTGATGATTAACATATAAAAGATCAGATACCTAATTGAGCTTGATGCAAGTATATCTATTAACAAAAGCATAGTGATTACCTGTAGAAGATTACAACATCTGCCATGAATTTTATCTGAGAAAGTGTTGAGGATAAGCTGGAAAAACAGCTTGAGCTTCTTATTTGATATAATTCCTCTATAATCTGATCAAAATCTCTTCTTATGGCAGCATGCCAAAGATAGATGCCCTTGGTATGGACCTCTTTCTTGACTTGCTGCTCTTGCTCACAATGAACTTCAAGTGGACATACTACATGTATATCCTCTAAACTGGAAAGTCCATTTAAAAGTTGGTATCCTCGTCCGTATATATTATCAGCATCAAAACATCTTTCCTTGGATTGAATCCAGGAAATGACCACCTGTGGAAACACCAAAGTTAGCTCTAGCAACGTTTTTGTTTTTTTTTTTTTTTGAAATGGGAATCCGCAGCCGCTACTCTTCGAGTGCGCTCTGGGTAAACCCCCAAAACCTAATAACCTGCAAACTAAGCCGGAAAAGCAAATCAAACCAGACGAACCATGTGTGACAGACAAAACTTGGAAGCGTTGAGAGTTTGAACTCATGACCTCACGACCACGAGTTCACCCCATACCACCAAGTCATCCGTTACGGAATGCTCCACAAACTTTTAATTCTCTAAGTTTAAAGTATCAGCTAAGGAACTACCTCTTGAAGTAGCATTTCTTTGGGCATGATAAGCCTTATGCAGTGTTCAAGATCAAGTTTCTCATGAGAAGAGAGGTGGTGAGCGGTCCAAGGAAAAAAGTCTTCCAGCAGCATGAAGGGAACACTGCACATATACTGCCAAACAAGCTGAGACTGTTCTTCGGAAGTAAATTTCTCCATCAGCATGGGGAAAACCTACATATTTAAGTGTCCGGTTTAATATTTGAGGCAGAAAATATGGTGGAGATAAATACAATAGTGTGTGCAAACTCTTATGAAGATCAAGTTGATCTTTGAAACTGTTTAATCTAACAGCAGAAAACTTTCCAATCAAATCCATCGAGCTGTTGTGCTTGGCAGTGTATAAAAGTTTATTTCACATTATCAGCTAATCATTTCGCTATATTTTGATTTGAAATTTATATATTCATGCATCTGTGATGACTCTCTTGTTACACATGGAGTCAGGTTTTTGCTAAACTAGACCAAAAAAAACCGAGAGCTTTAAGGATCACCTGCTCCTCTTCCTTCTGCATGTGATGGCAAATCATAGACTGGATGGTACCTATAGAAAAAAGAAGCTCTTGAAACATCTGAGGGGCTTTTTCGTCTTTCTTTGTTAAGAGATCCAGATGATGGAAGATGGAGCTGAAATTCTCCTCTATGGATTTATGCTCAAGAGTATATGCTGGCACCACATTCTTTATTAGTGTGTCTATAGCGAGGAAGATAACCTGACAGAGTTTAAGAACTAATTAAGATATTTCAAGTTCTGAGGCACTCCACAAATTGATACTGCGCATATTTCTCATGACCAAAAACCGCATAGCATTCTATCCCAGAGACAAAAAAAAAAAAAAAAAAAAAAAGAAAAAAAAAAAAAAGAAACAAACAAACAAACAAAAACAAAACAAAACATAGGTTAATTAATTCTATGCCTTCTTTTTCAGTATAAGTAGATTACTTTTAGCATCTGTACTTTCAGGTTTCAGCCAACATTCTGCAGCAGCATGAAGATGAAATCAGGATAGAAACTGCATCTATGCTTTGAAAAGGAAGAGAGCAGCAAAATCGAATTAAATGTTGAAGAATGTGTAAAGAGGATAATGTGAAGCTAATCCAACACATCATTCTACACGCCATGTTAGCATCAACATTCTCAGAAAGAGCAAGCATGTAAATATCCATTCGTAGTTCTAACTGAATCTCGTTCGCATTTACAAAAGAGAATTCCAAACCACAACCTCCCCGCCAATTGCAATCGCTCCTAAGAAATAAAAAATCAGAACCATAAAACAACTTGAGTAGGAAATCTCTAGCTAGGGTTTATTCTAACCTCATCTTCAGCAGCAGAGTGGTAATTATAAACAAGCTTCAAGAACTCCAACCGTCGCCTAAGGTCAACCACAAGTTCCTGCCCGCAGCTACCACTCTCGGAAGCCTCCGCCGCCACGCGACGGATGGAAGCGAGATCCGCACGAAATGCCTTATGTGTTGCCACAAAGAAGAGAACAGGCGCATCCACAAGGCTGACGTTAGCAACCGGAGGCTCCGGCCAGTCCTCCTCCTTGTCGGATCCTCCTCCGCCGGCCATAATCAGGTGAATTCCCGCCGCCTACCATCCACTGCGTCCATAAAGAGCACCAAAAGGGGAAGCTCCAGCACCGGAAGCCATCGCCATTTAATAGGCACCTCCTCGCTGCAGATCATCATCATCAGCAGCATTCATCACATCACATACATCACATGTACTTTCAAACTTCAATCGCCATTATTATAATTGTTTTTGATTTTTTTTATTATAAATTCAAAAAAATTTGTTTGTTTTGGTTTTACTACTAATTTCATATGCGGGTTTCGTTTTGGCAGACAGTGCCTGCCAGAGTGGATGATTCGACGCTGCACCAAACGGCCGCTGGCGCCAAGTTCTTGTATGGCCGACCAAGGGATACGTGGCCCAATCAGACATTGCCACGTCACTCGTTGTTATGTGAGAGTTGCCTTGTGATTCCACCCCAGTCGCCTGCACGGCTGTGGGGTTTACGTACCAAATTTTATTTTTAAAAGAATTTTTATAAAAAAATTAGAACATTTAAGAGATTAATAGAAATAATTAAATAATAAAAATTAAAATATAGTTGCCTAAGTTGAAAATATTTTAGCTAGTAATTAAAAAAATAAAAATAATAACATTTGTAATAAATAAATATTAAATAAAAAATAATAATTAAATATTAAATTTTTTATTTTTTAAAATTAATAATAAATTTAATTGGCTAATGAATTAAAGATAATAATGAAAATAAATTTATCAAAGGAGGTTATATAATTGAGTATATTCCCTTGCCGGTATTATATTGATTCTAATTAGTCAATATGATACTCCCTCCCTCACATAATTTTTTATTTTTTATTTTAATTTATCCCTCACATTTTATATTTTATAATTTTTTTAACTTTAATTAAATTATTTAGTTATAATAATCTATAATTATTTTTATTATATAATAATTATTTTTACTCACAGCCTAGAGGGAGATTTGAACCTATGACTTTAAAGTTATAAGTCCACCACACACCATTACGTCATCCTACTCAATTTTATTATTTATACGAACTATATATTTAATAATGATTTATAATAATAAAAAAAACTAAAATATCATTGTGAGAATATTTGTGTAAAAAGTAATAATATTTATATAATATTAATAATAAGAAAAACAAAGATAGTTAAAAATGATATGATTATTTTTTAGGGTAAATTACATGATACCTTCTTGTTTTTAGTAAAAATGCACAAAACAACTGTGTTTTATTTATTGCGTGAAACATTTTTGTGTTAATATAAAGTTTGAACGAAATACCTTTTTTATTCAAAATTGATATTTTGTTCTAAATAAAGACTTAAATTACGCAAGTTTTATACAAATAAAAAACGTAAAATATTTTAAATAATTTTTTTGAATATAATAAATAAATAAATAATTGATCAATCATTTATTTTTATAGTTTTTATAAAAAATCTGATAAAAATTTGTTTCAAAAACTATAAAATGAAGAAATAATAAAATATTTATTTATTTATTTATTTTATTCAAAAAAATTATTAAAAATATTTTACATTTTTTATTTGTATTAAACTTATTTAGAATCAAATATCGGTTTTGGACAAGGATGATGTTTCGTACAAATTTTACATTAACACAAAAGGGTTTTACGCAATAAATAAAACACATGATATTTTGTGCATCTTTACTAAAATAAAAAAATTACTATATAATTTCCCCTATTTTTTAAAATAAATGGTATGTTTATGCGTGAGATTTTATTTTTGAGTTTTGATTTTTAATAGTAAGATTTTGAATTGAAATGATTGTTTAATGTGATATAAATATGTATTGATATAATATTTTTATACAAAATTAAATTTTAGTGTTGTTAAAAAAAGTTCCAGACTTCCAACGTAAAACCAATCGGTGATAGTTGGAGTGATCATTAACCCTTATAAGCCAAACGAATTTCCACGTCATATACAATACGGAACAATATTCAACAAGTGTAATATAATAAATGAAAAATAGATATTCAATTTAATATTTTTTTTTTACAAAAAAATTAGAATAATAAAATCAAAACACAAATAAATACACCCAATATTCTTTTAGAACGAACAAAAATAAAAAATAAAATTATTATTTTGAAATATAAAAAGTGCAACTCCATATGTTCTGCTTACGATGTTTACATTTCTATTTTCTTTTTTCCACTTATTCTATTATTTTTTTTAAAAAAAATTATACATTTTAATTTTATTTTAAATTTTTAGTTAATAATTTTTTAAATTTTACTTGAACTAATTAATTATTTTATTTTAATTTAAAATTACTTTTATTATATATAATTATTTTTGTTAATATATTTTTAATTTATTTAAATTCTTATATCTACGTGAAAAGAACATGATAATCGAAAGCAGCGAGTAAGTTGGACACGCCAGGTAGCGCGTGGAGCTGAAAGAGCGTAGAAGAGGTTCAGTTCATGCTGGTACAGATATGTAGCAGGGAGCGCGTGTCCGCCTCTAGCCTGTCACGTGCGTCACTCGTGCGAGCACGCTCCCCAAGGCGTTTGACTTGATATTTTTTTAATTATTATTTTCTAGTGTTTCAAGCAGTTTATTTATAATAAAAATGTTTGTCGTTTTCAATTAGTGTAAAGTGCCGTCCCAAATGCCACATTTATTATTATTATTGTTATTATTATTATTATTATTATTATTATTATTATTTGTTTTAAATTTAGTGAAATTTGGTGACATCATTTAATTTTTATTTTTTTTAGCATGAATTGTATTTGTATGGGGCCACCGACCACGTGGATTTAATTATTATTATTTTTATTTTTTTCAAAGGGCAAGAACCATGGCACCACTCTGAATTTTAAATTAATTTGGAAAGATAAAAATAATTTTTTTTTTTATGTAATGTATATTTTATTCGATATTTTATGAAAAAAATTATTTAATAATATATTTAAAGTATTTTAGTATTTTATTTATTATAAAATTATTCAAAAATAAAGTCAAAAATAAATATTGAATGTTTCTTAATTATTTTTATACGACGATAAAATAAACAAACAAATAATAGAATGATGATTGTGTTGTGGAAATACAATCAAACACACTCTCTTATTACAACATTTTCCTACGTCAGCGGCATGTTTGTATGTGTGTTGGACTAGTTTAAAATTGAGTGTTTTTTTTTAAAAAAAATAAAATAAAAATTTAAGACATCACTATTTATTTGGTACGATTATCAATAAAATATACTATCTTCGTCCTATAAAAGGACAATATTTATTTTTGCGTCATTGTACTTATCGTTGAAAATATCATTATATTTGTATAATTTACGCAACAAATGTCATTCTATTTGTATTATAAAAGACTAATAGAGATATTTTTGTCATTTTCTTTTGATTTGGACTACGTATTGATATAATAATATATATTTAATAATCAACATGCAAAAAAGCTCATGATACTCTTCTTATGGACGGATGTAGTATTTTTCTGTCCGAAGAATTATATATGGTTAAATTTATTTACTATAATTCATTTATACTAAATAATTTTATCTGCTTACAGTTTTACTATCCTTACTTTAACAAATAATAAATAATATGCTACTATTTTTTTACTTACTTCACTGGAAGAACAACCCCACCCCCACTTCCACCCAATTTGCATCGTATCTATTGGTTGTATACACACGTATGTGTGTTTGTATAATGTCACTTTGTATATGTAGACACTAAAAATATATTTCTAAAATCAATTAAATATCATATATTTTGGAAAAAAATAAAATTTCAATAAAATAAATATATGGTATTTAATTATGCATGTTAATTTTTATACAATAAATATCAACCATTAATGCAAAGATCTGCTTAAAATGGAAGATATCGTACAAATATTACGTGCATAAATAGAGTCATAATAAATTTGGCAACAAAATAACTTAATCTTGTCAATAAAGGAAGTATATAAATTAATATCTTTCGAAAGAGGGCAATGATATAAAGATCTTGGCGAGAAAGAAAGGTGCACAATCAAATCCGTCAAGAATGGAAAAGAGTATCTGATGGAAAAGGAAAGATTATTAAATCTTCCTATTGGACAATCAAAACGCGCCACGTGACACCATTAAAAAAGGAAGCCGAAGCCACCCATCTCCTATAAATAGGAGCCATGGCCAGTTCATTTGAGACACCGAAGTTACATCGAGGATTCAAGCAAAGGGGTAAGCCTCTAGACTCTTTCTGTATTATTTTTCATGTTCTTCGTGTCTTTCGAAGCGTTCTTCGTCGAAAGTCACTAATTTGGACAAATGATCCAATATTGGTTGACGAATCGATGGAGTTAACGTTCTTCGTCGTATGTCTAAGCCGGAGGAAAGATCAAAGCTCTCAAAGCCATTGAGGAATTCATCAAAGTTAAGGGAAGGTTTCCAAAGTTCCTCTCAAAACTTCAAGATGTTCATCGCGTTCTTCAATAAAGCATTAACTAGGTCCTCTTCGATCCAAAAGTCAAAGGGACACGCCGCCAAAAGTTTTATGAAGCACCAAATGCACCTCCTCAAATATCAAAGCCGCGGATCGTCCAAAGAAGACACCAAATCCAAAGCCGATAATCAAATCACCCACACAGAGACCAAAGCCCTCCAAACGGCGGAAAAGGCAAAGTAAAGATCAAAGCCACAGATCGTCCAAAGAAGACACTAAATCCAAAGCAGATGATCAAATTGCCAACGCGGAGACCAAAGTCCTCCAAAGGCGGCAAAGTCAAACCAAAGATCAAAGCCGCGGATCGTCCAAAGAAGACATTAAAACCAAAGCCAATGATCAAATCGCTCACACGGAGACCAAAGTCCTCCAAAAGCGGCAAAAGTCAAAGCAAAGATCAAGGCCTCGGATCGTCCAAAAAAGACATCAAATCCAAAGCCAATGATCAAATCGCCCACACGGAGACCATAGCCCTCCAAAAGCAGCAAAGCCAAAGCAAAGATCAAAGCCTTGGATGGTCTAAAGAAGACATCAAATCCAGAGCCGACGATCAAATCGCCAACACAGAGACCAAAGCCCTCCAAAAGGCGGCAAAGCCAAAGCAAAGATCAAAATCTCAGATCTTCTAAAGAAGACATCAAATCTAGAGCTGACGATCAAATCGCCAACACGGAGACCAAAGCCCTCCAAAAGGCGGCAAAGCCAAATCAAAGATCAAAGCCTCGAATCGTCTAAAAAAA